AAAAAGTTATACATTACCTGTAGATCTTTCATTTCCCCTTGGAAAAGGTTATAATCCAACTGATAAACCCAATTATAAAATACCAAGTGAAAATTATAATCCATTTACACCCGCCGGTTATCCTACTGTCAGATATCCTAACGCTAACTATGAAGATCAATTTGATATGATGAATCAAAATATCTCTGTGTTAGTTTCTAAGGCACTTAGACCAGGAGTTTATCAAATGTTTCAGATTAAAAATTACCTACAATTTAGCAATCATGCTTTAAGATCAGACGGTACAGAAATGGAAAGTGTTTTCTCAGCTCATCCGCCTCCTTTAGAAGTAGTTGGATTTGGACATTTTGCATCTATTGAAATGAGTCATAATGTCTTTCATTTAGCAATCGGTGGTCCTGGTGGTCATATGTCATATCCAGATATAGCTGGATTTGATCCATTATTCTTTTTTCATCATAACGCCGTAGATCGTTTACTTGCACTTTGGCAAGCAATGTTAGTATTTTTATTTATATTATAAATAACAAGAGATTAATATATATATATATATAATATATAAACTTATAGACATCCTGATAGTTGGGTTACGGAAAATATCAATATTAACGGAACTTATACAGAAGAACTATACACAGTGGTAAATGAATATACAGACCTAACACCATTCCGTAAATCAAAAACAGAATTTTGGAAATCTTCAACTGTTCGTGATATAGAAAAACTTGGATATACTTATCCTGAATTGGTGAAATTTAAAGGTCAAGATCCAAGAAAATTACAAGCATATCTCCTTAAATTGTATAAACCTGATCCTTATTATGGACGCAGATTTTTCGCAAAATTAACTATAGATGCGGGTAAATTAGTTGGATCATACGATATTAGAGTCTTCGTTGACTTGAAAGGTGCATCTTGCGAAACACCAAAAACTTCGCCTCATTTTGCTGGCTTAATTGCCATGTGGCTTAGACCTAACCCTTACCAAATTAATGGTACTAGTTATGTCGTGGGAAGTGTTGATATTACAGCAACTATGAAACGATTGGGAATACGAATGGAA